ACAGCACATTATCTGTGATCAGGTTCCTCAAGAAGCAGGATTTATTAACAGCAAAGCTCCAGGTCAGAAAGCCCAAGATTGAGCACTAGTCTCCAAATTTGCACCATTCACTACCCCTGGTGAACCTCTTGAGCTTGTGTGTGGTGGGGGAAGATTTCAGACTTACAGGGACCAACTACTTTATCCACGATGAAGTCATGATATTCAGCACCATTACTGGGGATGGGGGCCATTATTACCAACTTTCCCTGGTCACTGACTGCTCTACATCAGCCAAGAATGACCTCCTCCTCTGCGCTAAAAGGAAACATTTAAATGAAAGCTTAACCTGAAGGAATCAATTCAGTAAACCCTCTTCCAACAGAGTATAACTAATATACCCCAATCCATAGCCTTCTCTCCTTCAGCCTGCTTGAATAATGAGGAAGGCTGAAATTCTACTTAAACGGCCTTTTCAATAGTCTTTTTAGTCATAAAATAGTCATGCTACGAAAGGTAGCATGTATGTAGCCTTAATAATATTAGAATTTATATTATTTTTTAACATCTGTTTAGAAGTAGTATAACTTATTTGTATAAATTCTGTTATCAATGGATGTTGAGATTGCTTTATAGTCATAAACTCTCTGGGCTGAATATCTCTTCATGTCTATCAAAGGGGATCAGAATATGCCACCCCTAGTGGGGAGGGTATGGCTCAGTGGTAGAGTGAGTTCTTAGCATGAACGAGGTCCTGGGTTCAATCCCCAGTACCTTTATTAAAAAAATAAATACATAAATAAAATTACCTGCCTGAAATTTTTCAAATTAAAAAAAAAAAAGAATGTGCCACTTCTAAACGTGCCACTTTGGCATAAGGATCATTCTGAGCTGAAGGAATATGAGAGACAGCAGATGCAGGAAGGGCTCCCTGCCCTTCTCCTTTCTACTGAAAAGCAGGACATTAATTTCTTGTGAGTGTATGGAGTAAGGGCTTGTGTGCCTGTGGGGCAGAAAGCCCAACTCTGACAGAAGGTGTTTGCAGCAAAGTAAGGGTTTATTTGCAGGGTACCAAGCATAGGAATGGGAGTCAGCTCTCAGATTCACTCCAACTTGGTCTTTGAGTTGGGGGTGTTTTTCAAGGGAAAGAACAAAGAAGCTGGGATTAATCATCATCTTGGGACATAAATGTGGCATTTCTTAATTGTAGATTCCAGAGTCAGGATGTCTCCGGTTTATGATTCTCTAGTCAGGTGGTCCATGGCTCGGGGTCCTGTTCACTCATCTTGCCCTGGAGAAACAACCGGAGTTTGCAAGGCAATGATGATATCTACAATGGCAGTTTGAGTACATCAATAATGTTCTCAATAGCAGCCCTTTTAGCCATCAAACTTTGGTTGATTAGTGTTCAGTTAGCAAGGATTGTGGTCAAAGGGGACAAGAAAAGGAATAAAGTTTTGGATAGAGAGATTAATCATTAACTGGGTAAGGGAATTCAGTTTTGGGGGGGCTTGGTTTCATGAGAAAGACACCTTCCCCATACCAGGAGACGGGGAGCCAAGGCTGAGATGAATCTCTACAAACAAATATTACTACAGCAATCCTTATCTCCCATTAGTTTCCCCATTTATTTACTTTCCCACAATTTACTGCCCTGAGAAGTTCAAACTTCTTTTTTTCACATCTCCAAAATTTATCACTCTTTGTTTAAAAATAGTATATAAACTCTCAGACCTAATCATTTCTTTGGGGTTTTGACTTTATTTCTAGGAGACCCTTCCTATCCACATGAAATAAACCTTATTTTCTTGTTAATTGATCATTTGTCAGTTTAATTTGTAGGGTCTCAGTCAATGAACCTAAGAGAATAGAAGAAAAAGGATTTTCCTCCCTTACACCACCTTTGTCCACATAACCAATTATTTCCTTAGGCTGAAATTGCCTGTCACATTTTGACATTGATACTTATTGCCAAAGTACACTTAAGACTGTAAACATATCATGCCTGTCAGGGGACAAGGCGGGACAGTATCATGGGAGGTAAGAGAATTTACCAAAGACGAAGGACGAGCATAGTAGAGAAGTTTATTAGGTTACACTGTCCTAGACAAGAGCGGGCCACACAGAGGAGAGGACCTTGCATGAGTTGGTGACCACAGTGGGCTGGGGACTGCGTGATCAGCTTGCGCATAAATTTTTGATTGTTTGTAGATGAGGTAAGAAGTTAAGGGGCCATGAAGGGGCAGTGAGGTTTCTGATTCTAGTAAGGTGGAGACGTGGGCTGAAACAAATCAGCCTGAGCTATTGTGAGATTAGGCATTACCTAGGGCTATTAGTTTGTTAGGGCAAACATTCCCAGTAAAGAATGTACTTTATCTGTTGAAGGATTGCAGGCAGACATCTGAGAGCCCAGGAATGGGGGTCGTTGCACTTTGAAGGATGCCAGTTGGCCCCACAATGCCTACCATCAAGGTATGTATAAGTATTTTGATGAGCGTAATTGTTTTTTAGACCCAAATCCCACTGCTCTGTGAAACCTTCTACTTTCACTTACCATCATCTTTCCCTTTTGAAAAATCTTCTACCGTCTGCAGCACTTTGCAGCTGAGCATTTCACTGTTCTCTTATTAATTCATTAAACAAACAAACAAAAAAACAAATTCCACCTTGTATTTGTGCCTGGTCCTATGCAAGGCAGTGGAAATATAAATATTAATTAGACCAAGTTACCACCTTCCAGGATCTCATAGTCCAGTGGGCATTTAAACCTTGTTATTAACTGCATCTTGTGAGTGAGTAGCTGTAGGGTGGGATGGGGGTTAAAAAAATGGATATAATCAGTCTCCTGTTAACAGTCTGAAAGGACAGCACTGGCACAGTAAATAGTGTCTGTTTGTAAGCCTCTGGGACTAAATAACGAGAGGTGCTCAAATTTACACCACACCCCGCTCCCCCCACCCCCAGCGGTGTGGGAATGTAATTACAAAAGCAGAGTAAGTTTCCCGACTAAAAGTAACCACCTCTTACTCATCCCAGCAGCTAGAACATTTGACCCACATAGGATGCACTCAGGAAATGCCTGTTGAATGTTGGAGGAATTAATAAATATGCATGGATGGATGCATGAAGACAGCTTTCTATAAGTAGGGAAAAACTGAAATTTTATGTAGTTACAATCTCTCTACACCTAAAGAGGGCAGATCCTCCTGAAGTTTCCTTGGTTTTGATGATGGGATGGGGAAGCGTTATGGACGAGCTGATAGGGAACAGAAGGTCCTATATTATAAAGGGAAAGAAAAATACAGGAGACTGCTAGGAAGAGGGGAGCGGGAGCTCCTAACAAGAGCAGGGCGTGGTTTTGAGTCTTATGGAGAGATGTGGCATCTAGTAAAGGGAGTGGGTGGGGAGAAATATATTTTTAGATTTTTAGAAAGTCTGCTGTGTTATTAGTGATGTTACTCCCTCCGCCATATCCCCAAGAAAACATCAGTAGAAACAATGTACTCTTCTGTGTCTTTGAGTCTGGTCAGGACTTGCCTTTTGAATGTGGTTAGGCATCAGCCGGGGTCATTAGAGGTTACACGCAGCTAGTGTGTTGGAGAATCACGGACTGTATCTCTCTTGCTGAGTCAGAGTTGTGATTTGGTCGCCCAAGGGGGAAGGAGGGGAACACCAATGAGTTGTTCTGGGATTACAGCGGTGAAGAGGGCCGGGGATGACTTAATCTGGCTCCAGGAGGGGTGGGTTGTGGGGAAATACTGATTCTCAGCCCGCTTAGTCCAGTGCCTAGCACCTAACTAGGAGGTCAGAATATATTTGCTGACTGACTGGACCGTACAGAATAAAGAAGAGGATGCATTAGAGCAATCGGTGAGGCGGGGATTATCATTCCCTTCTAGAGATGAAGACACTGAGGCCTGAAGGTGGCTCCACCCAGTTCTCTCGGCAGTCAAGGAGCCAATGCCCTCGTCCCACCTCCCGCTCCCCACTGCAGCTCGCTTGGGTCGCCCCAGCCACACCCACCTACCCACTTCCGGGTTCCACCCCGCCCACCCGCGAGTACTTCCGGTCTCCGGGGCTGGAAGCCGCGGCCCGGAGTCGTAAGGCGGTAAGTCAGCACCGCGACGGCCTCTGGAAGCAATGGGCCTGGCCACGGCGGGCCCAGGTGGCAGAGGGCCCTTATTTCTAGGGTCACCACCAAATATTATGCGGCACCCATTTCCCCCACGAAGGCCTGAGGCCCCGGCCCAGGGTGACGTCACTTCCGAGGCTGGGCGGGCAGGCGAAGTTAGGAAAGGGCTCCAGCCCCGCTTGGTGGCGGGGAGGAGTGAAGGCGGGTCTTCTCAGAATTTCTGGCTTTCGCGCCGGAGCTCTTGGGAATTTAGGAGAGACGGTGTTACAAGTAAATTTGCTGGATGTAGCAAATAAAAATACAGGGCGTCCAGTTAAATCTGAATTTCAGATAAAAAACAATTTTTTAGTATAGGTATGTCGTAAATATTCACGGAACATACATTATAAAATTCCTCGTTTATCTGAAATTCAAATTTAACTGAACGTCCTGTATTTTATCTGGCTGTCTTAGGCTTGGGCGCCCCCTGCCTTGGGCTCTGATACCCATTGGCAAGGCTGGAATCCTCTAGGCCTTTATTCGTAAGGGAAGCAGGTAAAAAGTTCGCCCAGGTTGTCAAAATCAGCTCTTGCTAGATACTAAGACAATTTTAGCTTCAAGCCTAATAGGCCAGCCCCTGAGGCCTCTGGCCACAGCTGGGCACATTTTGAGCCCCGTTGGCGGCGCCCTTTGTATTCACTTTCACAGCTGGAGTTGGGCACAGTTGGATTTCTCGTGTGAGAAAGCTGAGCTCCTTGCAGGCTAAGTGACTGAAGGCTAGAAGTTGCCAGGGTTTTTTTTGAGTGTGGGAAAAAGTGACGCTTGGGGTCCAGGTTTTCAGTGTTAACTAGTGGCGCTTCAGAGAGCTGAGGGATGTCAAGGGGCAAGTACTAGTCTTAATCTCATCTTGCCTCTCCTTTTGCATATGAGGCCCAGTGAGAGGAATGGAGCTGTCCCTGTGGTAGATTTGGAGACTGATTCCCATCCTCTGTCCCCTGCTCTGTCCACACTTGCTAATGCAGCCAGCTGGCAGCATTTATGGTGGGCATTATTAAAGTAATGCCTTTCTAGAGATGAACTCTTTGGGGCTTTATTGCCCCTAAACTCTGCAGTCTCTTGACCTTCACTTCAAGTCTTCTTTAGCTTTTATCCTGTCCAGTGATTATTTGGCAAATGATTATTTGAAAATGATTATTTGGCATCACCTGTGGGAGCCTGACCTTTGCCTGCTCCAGCCACGTGGCTCTCTCACCCACGTGGATAGTATGACCCAAGACTTGTTATGTCAGAGCCAAAAGGCGTGTTCTTGGCAGGGCTGGGTCTGGCTGTGTAGGTGGAAGTCTGTCCTGCAGATTGGGACTTCAACAAGATTCTGCTATGTGCCAAACTTTGCTGCCACTTCTGATTTGAACCTGAACCTCTTGCTGGACTGGCCCTGAATGCTGGGATTCTTAGGCTGTATGTCCTGAGGATCTGCTTTGGGCCTGCCTGTCAGTGTCCTCGCAAACCTACAGCCTCCCTATACAGACCTGTCCTTCCCAGGCTCCCAACCCAGTCTCATGAGCTAACGAAACAGAGCAGGCTGGAGGTCACTGACTAGGCTTGGGGTCAGTTGGTGGGACAGCCAGCAGCCTCCTAGCAACAGAATTGGTAAAGAGGCAAGGAAGGAGTGTCAGAAAGGGGCATTGCCTTGGATGAGTGCTCAGAAGTACAGGGGGTGGGAAAGGGGAGGGGTGGGAGACTATTGGTAGTAATTGCTCCCTCTGTGAATGATTAACTCTCAGCCAAAGGGGGTGATCTAGGAGGAGGGCTCAGCTAACAGAACCTTTGGATTCAGGGCAGAGTGTCCAGGGGACTGGCTTGTGGCCTGCAGAAGAGGAGGATGTGGTTGGGTGGCAGGCCTGGGCTCTGAAGACTGGAGTGAGATCAGGCAGCTGTGGGCCTTAGGACATCTTAGACTGGCAGATGGCCTATTCTTGCAGCAGCAGCTGTGGGGTCCACTGGCCCTGAGTCCTCAGAGCTGTGGCTGTGGGGAGCCTCCTGTCTCTGGCCTTGTAACGATCTCACTGGTGCTTTCTCTCCCCTAGGCAGCCATGGATGCTGGGTGGTGCTGACAGCACTGGGGCATGGCTACAGCCCTACAGGTCCTGCGTCACTTGGCCCAAGCCCCGTTGCGCCTGCTACTCTGGAGGGGCCCGTTGGCCAGGCTAGCCAGTAGCATGGCTCTGGCAGAGCAGGTGCGGCAGCTGTTTGAGAGCACTGTGCATGCCGTGCTGCCGGGCCCCCTGTTGCAGCGGGCGCTGTCCTTGGACCCTGATACTGGGCAGCTGAAGGTGCGGGACCGGAGCTTTCAGCTGCAGCAAAACCTCTACCTGGTGGGCTTTGGCAAGGCCGTGCTGGGCATGGCAGCTGCAGCTGAGGAGCTACTGGGCCAGCACCTCGTGCAGGGCGTGATCAGCGTTCCCAAGGGGATCCGTGCTGCCATGGAGTGTGCTGGCAAGCAGTAAGGAGCCTGGGGAGGCTGCTCCCCGCTGTCCATCTTGGGAGGATCCTGGGCCTGGCTCAGACTGGGTCCGGGCTTCCCTCCTTCACCAGTTTCCCTTTTCTTCTGAGTCTGGCCTGGCTCCTGGGTGGGTGTCACGGGCCTCCTTGTTCATGTCTCCTTTACTTGTACATCTGGGAAGTCAGGTAGGAGGGTGAGCCCACCCCATTTCTTGTTCTCTCTTCTCTCTCCCCTCAGGGAGATGCTGCTGAAGCCACACAGCCGCATCCAGGTATTTGAGGGTGCAGAGGGCAACCTGCCAGACCGAGATGCGCTGCGGGCGGCGCTGGCCATCCGGCAGCTGGCCGAAGTTCTCACAGCTGATGACCTGCTGCTTGTGCTCATCTCAGGTGTGGGTGCCAGATTGGCTCAGGAAAGTCTGGAGGGGTTCCACATGTCAGGTCAGCAAGAAATTATTGGTCTGAGCCCCCAACATTACAGAGCAAGGGAGGCCATAAGGAGTCTGGATGCCTGAGTCCTGGATGGCCCTGGGCCAGTTGTCTGGCCTCCCCTGAGCTGTGGGGGTCCTCCCTTTGACTGACCTTGTCAGGTAACTGTGAGAGGATGCATAGGGAGCACCTCACTCAGGGTCTTGCAGGGAAAGTGTGTATGCTGTTGCTGTTGTCTGCACCATTGTCACCTGGGGCTAGAACCCCAGACTCCAGCTCCCTCAGAGCCTCCTCCCTGTCCCTCTGCTGACTCCTCCTGGTCTTCCCCCTATTCCAAGTCCTAAAGGAATAGTTCTTCCAGTGTCAGCTGGGACACGGGTTATCCCAAGGCAGGGGACAACCTCAGGTGCCCAGGTTGTGGTGACTGTGCGCGCATTCACTGTATGTCCACACGGGGGCACCCTAACCACACCTTTCTAGCCTCCGTTTCCCTAATGTGGGCAATGTCTGTCTGCTTCCCTGGGTAGGGACGTCCTTTGCCATCCCATCCCCTCTGCCTGACATCTTCACTGTCTCTGCAGGTGGGGGTTCAGCTCTGTTGCCTGCCCCCATCCCACCAGTCACACTGGAGGAGAAGCAGACACTAACCAAGCTGCTGGCGGCCCGTGGAGCCACCATCCAGGAGCTAAACACCATTCGGAAGGCCCTGTCCCAGCTCAAGGGTGGGGGGCTGGCTCAAGCCGCTTACCCTGCCCAGGTATGTGGGTCCCTTCTTCCCCAGACAGCCCTGGGCTGGTAGAGCCAGGCCCACATGTGCCAGGGAGATGAAAGCCTAGAACAGCATACAGATCTGGTATGGGAGTCCATAGAGCCAGCTGGGGGTGTTGGGGACCTCAGAGAAGGGGAAGGGGAGTCCACATGGCAAGTTCTGCACATCCACTTGAGAGGGGTTAGAAGTGGGTGAGGAAATGCATGGAGTGGTGTGAGGATGTGTGGATCGGAAGCAGTTTGTACTCGTGGGCTCTGGGACAAGGACCGGGTGGGACCGAGCCTTGCCTCTGCGACCCTTCTCCAGGTGGTGAGCCTGATTCTGTCAGACGTGGTGGGGGACCCTGTGGAGGTGATTGCCAGCGGCCCCACTGTGGCCAGTGTCCACAACGTGCAAGATTGTCTGTACATCCTTAACCGCTACGGCCTTCGTGCTGCCCTGCCACGTTCCGTGAAGACTGTGCTGGCTCAAGCTGACTCTGACCCCCACGGGCCACACACCTGTGGTCACGTACTCAATGTGATCATTGGCTCCAATGCACTGGCGCTGGCTGAGGCTCAGAAGCAGGCTGAGGCCCTGGGATACCGGGCTGTGGTGCTGAGCACAGCCATACAGGGCGACGTGAAAAGTGTAGCCCAGTTCTATGGGCTGCTGGCCCGAGTGGCTGGAGCCCGCCTCACCCAGCATGGGGCTGGAGCCTCTGTGAAAGAGGATGAACAACTCCAGGAGCTGGCGGCCCAGCTCCAGCTCCCAGACCTGCAGCTGAAGGGGGCTCTGGAGGCTGTGGTATGTGCTCGGGGCCCAGTCTGCCTGCTGGCTGGTGGCGAGCCCACAGTGCAGTTGGAGGGCTCAGGCAGGGGTGGCCGGAACCAGGAACTGGCCCTGCGTGTTGGAGCAGAGCTGGGACGATGGCCGCTGGGGCCTGTTGATGTGCTGTTTTTGAGTGGTGGCACCGATGGGCAGGATGGGCCCACAGCGGCAGCCGGGGCCTGGGTCAGGCCTGAGCTTGCTAGCCAGGCCGCCACTGAGGGTCTAGATGTGGCTGCCTTCCTAGCCCACAATGACTCACATACCTTCTTCTGCCGCTTCCAGGGTGGGGCACACCTGCTGCACACAGGACTGACTGGCACCAATGTCATGGACGTCCACTTCCTGTTTCTGTGGCCACGGTGATGACATGGGTCATGTTTTGGGAGTCTAGAGGAGGCATACAGGGCAGCATCCTGGGGCAGAGTAGGGTTAGTCCCCAGGGCCTCACCAGCCTTAGGGTCTCTCTTCTCCTTGGGCCTGGCTACTTGGTTGACCCTCATACCTCCCAAACACAGCCTCTGCTTGTGTCCAGTTCCTCAACCTGGCAGGCAGATGTGGGCCCTCTCCCACCCCTACTTTCAGCCATGGCAGCAGGTACCACAGAGAATCAGGATGAGCCCCTGGGCCAATTTGCTGTTCCCAGTCTTCTCTCCCAGGCAGCCCCTCTGCCGAGCTCCTAAGCCTGTTTCATCTGTGGGGTGAAGAGGATTGAAAATAAAAAGGACCACACTGTGGGTTCTCAGTGCATCTTCTCTCAAAGAGAAGACTAGCGAGCTGCAGGGAAGGGGAGTGGGGTCTGGCAGCAGCCCCATCACCAGGGCCCCACAGGAGCTCCCTGTACCCTTCTCTGCAGGGCACACATTTGTTTCATTTAAATAAGAGCCTGGGAGGGTTGGGCCTGGATCTGGACATGCTTGATGTGAGTGAGCAGAGAGCCCATGGAGGATGGCCTAGGGCCTACAGTCTGTGGGGTCTGGGAGGGACTGGCCACCCATCTAACTGTTGCTCTCCCCTGTGGCACACCTGCCGTGATCTCTCCAATCTCTGTCTTATGCCTCACTGGGTACATGCTTACTGCCTGCCACCAACAATATCCCTCCCTTCTGTCTCTGGACAACCCTTAGCCATAGACTGTACCTTCTTCACTTGAGCTCCCCCCTGTTTTTCCACACAGGACACTGGGACTTGTTTCCTTTTCCCAGGCTTCAGCCATTTCTCTGGGATACAGTCCAGTTCCTGCTGCCAGTCTGCGGTGGGGGTCCCCAGTGCTGGGGTGGTGGGTTAGGGCAGTGTTGGGGTCCATCAGCCTCTCCCCTCTCCCTTGTTACAGCTGGCTAGGGAGAGGCCAGTGGGGAGGGGAACCACAGATGAGGGACTCCTTTGGCCAGGCTAGCAGCTTGAGCTGGGAGAGGGAGGGGCCACTGTCTTGGTTCTCCTTGGGCCCCTTGCTCAATGTCCGAGCCCTCCGCTGGCTGCCCCCACCGTGCGCCACGGCTCCAATCCCTATATGAGTGAGCAGTAGAATCACATAGGAATAAAAAGCCATAGAGAACAGCGAGGCCTGGGGCTGCTCCTGCTGGCCCTCTCTTCCACCCCAGCCGTGCCCTCTTCTCTGAGAGTATGAGGGGCCCTGGACCAGGGCTGGCAGGCCTTGCCCCTGGGAAGAGTCTCCCTTCTCCACTCAGGCTCTGGACAGTGCAGCTTACAGATGGTTCCTGGTGGGCTGGGGATGGGAAGGAAGGTGAGCAGGGTGAACTGGGTTCTGGGGTTCAGGGAAGTTCAGGAAAGGGGGATTTGCACCTCTTTGTGATGCAGGGGCTCCATTTCCTCTCCTTCTGTCCTGGCAGGGGGTGTGGGAGGGGTCATAGTCCTAGGGATCCTGTCCCCATATGGCTGTGCCTGTGCCCTGGTGCTCCTCTGGCAGCCTCTTGATATGCCCTGTCCCTGCTTCAGTCCTTGCCCTCGGGACCTGAGTATTAGCACTGGGTGTCAAGTTGCCAGCAAGAGCAGGATAGTTGGGCCAGGGCTGTGGCCGAGGACCCATCTGCCGTGTCCCCAGTGTGTGCCTGTGTGTCTGGTGGCACGTGAGCACGCAGGTGTGTGTGGGCATACTGGGAGGGGGGTGCATAGACCCTCAGCATGGGGGCTGTGCTGCTCCCTGTGCACGTGGCTGCTTCCATGCCCGCAGAGGGGTTGAGTGTGGGTGGGTCTTGCTGGAGGCTCCTGTGCCACCTTGGCCCCTGCCCTGTGCCTCTTGTTTGTGGGGTCTGGGAGGCAAGAGGCTGGATTGGGCCTAACCCATTAGACTTGCTCATTTGGTAACCCCAAGGTGAGAAAGGATATATTTGGCTGCAGTCTAGATAAAGCCTATGCGGTGAGTGTTTAATAGGACTTATTATTTGCTCTGTCAATGTCAACTATGGGTCATGATAATTGCTCTCATCCCATGGCTCCTGGCTTCTGTCTCTCCCGGCTCGGGTTCCTGCTGCCCTCACACCCACTTCGTCTCCATCCGCAGAAGCTTTCCCTGGCATGGGGGAGGCTTTCACCAATTAGGGTGCCTGCCCCCAACTGCTGCTGCCTTCACAGGCCCTTCCATTCTCTGTGCTTGGTGTGAATTGAGAGCAGCTGGGCAGCGGGCCTGGCCAGCCCTTAGGTGTCTGCTAATCCCAAATCCTTTGTTTGATAGTTGGTGAAACAGAGAGAGAAGGTGGCTTGTCTGGGGCTGCACAGCAAGTCTGCCGCAGAGCCAGAATGAGAACCTGGTTGAGATCTTGATCATCCTCTGCCTACCCTTTGGGGCTCAGAGACCCTGGGACCCTGCAGGGGTTCAGCCAGAGCCAGGGATCTAATCCTGCCTCCCTGCTGCCCTGCCAAGGGCCTGGGGATGGTGACATGACCACGCTTGGCCTCTGTAGGGGTCCATAGAACAGATTTGTCAGTCCCTCCTGGCTCAGATTTAATAGCTCCATTGTGTGTGTGATTTGGCAGAAAGCCACGTGTGGTTGAATGGTGGGCTTCTGCACAAAGGTGTGTGCATCTGTATACACATCTGTATGTGTGTGTATGCACAGGGGAACATGTGTGGGTGTGTGTGTATCCAGTTCAACCCACAACCAATCACTAAGTGGGCCTCTGAGCTGTGTTCTGCTCCACCCTGGGGTGGGGGACACACACAGTTTGGTGTGGTTAGGATGTTGGGGAGATAGTGAGGCAAGTTTGGCATGGAGGCCATAAAGTGTGGTTGAGGCCAATTGGCAGAGGGCCTAGTGCCTGGGTGAAAGGGTCACATTTCACACTGACAGCAGAGGCAGGCCCCTGAGGTTTCCTAGCAAGGAGGGGTACCATGAGGCTGTCTTAGGACTTTGATGCTGTGGCCTTCCTTACCATAGGGCGGGGGCTGGGGACCTTCAAGGAGGTGCAGGAGGTGCCCCAGGTGGGAGAGAGGTGCATCACCAGGCTCAGGAATCTCTCTCCACCTCCCCTCTGCCTGGTGCTCAGCAGCCTCATCCCGGCAGCCTTCAGCCAGCCCAGGTGACCCTTTAGATGCCCACTCTGTAACGAAGGCTGGAAGCCCTGGCTTAAACGTCCCTGCAAGTCACTCAGCCCCTCTGCCCCTGGGAATGCCATCAGGGCATGAGAGATTGGGAGACAAAGAGGCTGGGCCACTGGTGGACTTTGGTGAGCATAGGCACCCCACCCTCATGTAGGCTCTCATCAAGGTGGCGGTTAAAAAACCTGGAAGGAGTACTGGAGTGGGAGTCGCATCCTAGGTCCTTATTCTGGCCTTGCCACCTTCTTTTCTCCAAGCCTTGGTTTTCTCCTCTATCTAATGGGGACAGCATCCTTGTTCTGCTCACCTCTCTGGGGAGGTGTCGGCAGCAGATGGATGTGGGTAGGAAAGCTCTGTGGAAGGGAGCTCAGGGAGGGAGAGAAGGAAGGGAAAGGTGTTGACTTCTTCCAAGGAGAAGCTCAGGGAGTTCTTGGCTCAAGGAGGCCCCCCTCTTCCAGGCAGGGCCAGGGTTGAGTCAGTGAGGCCTTATTGCTCACTGACTGAGGCCTAGTGAGTGACTCTTGCTGTCTGGCACTGGACTGGCACTGGCAGGAGTGGCACTTGAGTTTTTAATGGCTGTTGGGGGTACACAATGCCCTGGGAGGTCACAGAGCCAGTGGTGAGGGAGTCAGCTGGAGCTAGAGTAAGCTGACCCAGCCTGGGAGAGAGTCCCCTCTGATCTCAGAAAAGTAGGCGGGGCAGCCTGATCCCTCTGTATCTGGATTACAAGTGAGGGACAGGATCAGGCCTAGGCTGGGTAGGGGAGAGCTGGCTTGACCCCAGGAGTCCCTAGTTGGGTGGGAGGATTCAGGTGTGCTAGGGGAAGACAGAGGTTATATGGGGGGGGGGCACTGACACATTCTGAGTGGTGGAGAAGCCAGTGGCCTAGGCAGGCTACAGCAGAGAGATAGGGCCACAGAGCTGAGGTGATCTGTGCTCAGGTCAGGAAGGATGACTTTCTCCCTGAGACAGGGATGTCTGAGGGTTGATCCCTCCCTGGGCAGTCAGGGGGCCAGTCCTGAGGCTCTGCTCTCCCATTTCCCCTGGCTCAGGCTGCCCTGTAGAGCCTGGGGGTGGGAGGTGGGCTCAGGGTGATCACCTCAGCCCCTAAGAATTGATGCCCACAGCTCTGATTCCCCCTCTCTGTCCATGTTACTCCATCTGGGAAGGGTTCTTGCCAGCTCAGATGTGGAGGCTCTAGTCACGGAAGAGGGCCAGGAAGAGTTGGCCCCCAGATGCAAGTGCCCCATCTGCCCAGTCCTAGGGGGACAGATGCCCCTTCGTAGCTCTGCCTCATGGGATCACTACCCACCATGATCTTGTCCACTGCTGGCTCCCTGGGGGTTCAGGGAGCTGTAGGATCTGACTCTGCCCTAGCCATAATGCCAGGGGCTGGTCTCCAAGATGCACCCTGTTGGGAATTTCCCCCTCGGTCTCCCTCACACTCCTGGCCTTTCCTGCCCCTTCTCTAGCAGAGCCTCCCTGCTCACCTTTCTGGGGAAGTGTGAGTAGCACACCCTGTCCCCATCCAGCCCAATCTCTCCATCCCCAGCTCTGGCTGAGAAGGGGGCGGAGCCCCTGGCACTGGCTTCTGCCCCTTCCATTGACTCCCACCCACCTGCCCAACATCATCTTGGTGTATCCCTGGGTCACCTCCAGTAATCACAGTTGTAGTCTCATTCAAGAGCCAGGGCTCTGTCTTCACCTGTTCTCTCCCTGCTGCCCCCAACCCAAGGCGTTCCTCCCTTTCTTGCTGTTCACCCCAAGAAGCTGACCACAGCAACATCTGGGCTCAGACCCGGATCCCTACTGTTTGCAGCCCTGGGTAAAGCTATCCTGGAGCCCTATCTGGGGGGAGCTGATCAGAGACCCTTAGGGGAGGGAGATGTGCCCCTCCCCCATGTGGCTCTGTGGGGTCTGGTCAGTAGCTTGAGGTGAAAGCAGCCAGGCTGTAGCAGGGGCAGATCTCTCCTCTGCTCACACCCCCACCTGAGCAGTGGAAGCAGTCCAGCACATCCCTGAATAGCAACCACACCCCCCCCCACCGAAGGACTCGGACTACGTTGGGTCGGGTACAACGACCGCCCGTAGTCGGAACGTAGTGCCTACGTGCCTCGACCCGGACCCCGGAC